CCAGTCACAACCATTCATTTACCAATGGGAAGGAACTGCACTAAGCTTTTTACAGATACGGATCAGATCTGTCAACCAACTTAAGAGAACTAATGCTACTATGTCCACTGTGTAGGAGAGGATGTGAACGTTTAGAATGGTTTTGTGTCTTCAAGTTCAAACAGCAAATATGTGATAGAACCAAGATTCAAAACCTGTTTTCCTAATTCCAAGAGCTTTGCATGAAATATCATTTATTAAAGTCTTTGACCATTTCATATTTTAAAATTGTCCACATTTGCTGTACTTTTTATATTTCCTCTTGTGAATTGTTTTCTTATTCCCTTTGATCATTAATCTACAGGGACGTTCACCTGTAAGGTGTCTTAACAACATATAGATCTCGTTTGCTCTTTCAAATAAATTGGGTTTTGTTGTCTTAGGTAATTGCAGTCATCACAGGAACATAATTGGGGTGGGAATGACTCCTGAGCAAAGGACACTTTCTCTTCATCATGGTCTCTTGGGACCACCTGTGTTTCTTCAGTCTTTTTACTCCCTTGTGCCCATTTCATTCTTCTCTCTATTGATTAAACAGATTTTTTTTTATGTTTCTTTAAGTACAGGACACAAAATCATCATATCACAATGGAGTGAGCCACACATTTCCATTATCACGGGAAGCTCACCATCTGGAAACAGCTACTCTGTGTACATGCTTTAGGAAAAATATCATCTATGTTAAGAGCTTGACTTGCATCCATGTTTTCCTAATAAGTATGTCTGGGGATGAGAAGAGCCTGGTAAGAAAATGGTCCCTGGAGCCCACAGCATGCTCTATGTGTGTATGTGTGTGCATGTGCTGTGCAGCCTGAGCAGTCCTCAGAGCAGTGCACCTGAGCTGATATATTCCAAAATATTGCTGTTATCACGCAGATGGCAGAATACTATCCAACACAGGAGGAAGGAAGGACCTATTTAAACTCAAGGGGTGGCTTTCGAATCAAGTTAATAAAGTGTGAGTGGCGTAGGGACTGTTTATGTCTTGAGGTTTGAGCAGCATCAGGGAAGCCACCTCATTGCTCACCCTCCCACAACACTTTCTCCCTTCACTCTCCATCTTGCTCATAACCCTGACACACTGGTTTTCTCTTTGGATTTGACCATCTGAAACAAGCCCCTTCTTCAGGGGCTTTGCATGAGTCATTCCCCCTGCCAAATGCAGTGGTCCTGCTTGAACCCCCCAAACATAACCCCCCAAATCTATTTTCTCTCATTCACCTACTTTCATTTCTATATAGCACATGATACAATCTGACATGTCAGTTTATAAATTCTTTATGTATTTGTGTTATTTCTTCTTCGTCATTGAATTGCAGGGACATTTGTTTTTCAGCATAAAATACTCATTGTGTAGACAGTGCCTGGACATAACCATCAGTCAACTACACTCTTCAAATGCATGAAAGAAATAATTTCTCAGTGAAGGAAAGAAAAAATTTCTCAGTGAAATAGGTAAATACATGATTCCTCCTAGCGAAATGGCTGAGATGGCTCTAGGTGTACCCTAAATGGGATCATACCTATACACAAAATGTAAAAGATAATTTAATGACTGAAAATATAAATGGTAACATTTTAACTCTGTGAATAATGGCCATTTGTGTGAAAAGAATTACATTTCTTTTCTCTTTCCTAATAGCACTTCTACCACATGGGAAAAGGAAATGATACACAAATTTCAGAATTTCTTCTTATGGGTTTTTCAGAGACACCAGAATTGCAGCCCCTCATCTTTGGACTTTTCCTCTCCATGTACCTGATCACTGTGTTTGGAAACCTGCTTATCTTCCTGGCCATCATCTCAGATGTCCTCCTCCACACTCCCATGTACTTTTTCCTCTCCAACCTGTCCTTTGCAGACATCTGTTTCACTTCCACAACCATCCCCAAAATGCTGCTGAACATTGACAGAAAGAGAAAAGTCATTACATATGCAGGTTGCATCACCCAGATGTACTTTTTCACATTTTTTTCACTGTTAGATGACTTTCTCCTAGCTGTGATGGCCTATGACCGGTTTGTGGCCATCTGTCACCCCCTGCAGTACATGGTCATCATGAATCCCCAGCTCTGTGTCTTGCTGGTTCTGGTGTCTGTCATCATCAGTGGGGTGCAATCCTTGGTAGACGCCTTACTGGTGTTGCGGCTGTCCTTCTGTGCAGACTTGGAAATCCCACATTTTTTCTGTGAACTTAATCAGGTGATCCATCTTGCCTGTTCTGAAACTTTTCTTAATGACTTGGTGATATATTTTGCATCTGTGATGTTGGGTGGAGGACCTCTTGCTGGTATCCTTTACTCTTATTGTAAGATAGTTTCTTCCATACGTGCAATCTCAACAGCTCGAGGGAAGTATAAAGCATTTTCCACCTGTGCATCTCACCTCTCAATTGTCTCCCTATTTTATTGTACAATCTTAGGAGTATACTTTAGTTCTGCTGCTACACACAACTCACACTCAAGTGCTGCAGCCTCAGTGATGTACACTGTGGTCACACCCATGCTGAACCCCTTCATCTACAGTCTGAGGAATAAAGACATAAAGAGGGCTCTGAGAAGATTCTTTGGTAGGAAACTATAAAATGACCAATTGTGCTGCTGCTGAAGATGTGCCCCTGTCTGTTGGGATCAAAGACTCAGATACAGAAATTGTGATTGTTTTTAAATTTATTATAATAGTACAACTTACTCTTTCTGATTTTTAAAAATAGTATTGTAACATAGTTGATGGTACATATCTGTGGGTTACCGAGTTGAATATTAATACTTGTGTGCAATATGTGATGGGCAAGTCAGAATAATTATTATATTCAAGAATATACACTGCCATCACTGTTCGTAGCCCTACCTTCCCTGCTCCCCACTTCCCACTTCTAGTGACCTCAGTTCTCTTTTTGAAAATTCAATGTATTATTTTGTATGTTGTGTCTTTCTTTCTTTTATTTCTGTTTATGTTTTAGATTCCACTTATGAGTGAGGACATATGAAATTTCACTTTCTGTGCCTGGCTGATTTCACTTAACATGATTTTCTCTAAGTTCATCAATGCTGCTGTGAATGGCAACTTTTCATTCTTTTTTATGGCAGAGTATTATTCCATTGTGTATATGTACCACATTTTCCTTATCCACTCATCTGACAATGGACATTTAGCATGGTTCCAACTCTTGGATATTGTATATAGAACTGCTATGAACAAGGGAGTGGAGGTATCTCTTTGACACAATTATTTCCAGTTCTTTGGATATCTACATAGCAGTGCAACTGCTGGATTGTATGGCAATTCTATCTGAAGTTGTTTATGCAATATCCATACTACTTTATATAACAGCTGCACCAATTTACAGTCCCATCAATAGTGTAAGAGGGTTCCCCTTTCTCTGCATCCTCAGCACATTTGATGTTCTCCATCCTTTTGATAATAGCCAGTCTAACCAGGGTGAGATTGTATCTTAATGTGGTTGCGATTTGCATTTCCCTGATGCTGATTGATGTTGAGCATTTTTTTATGTGTCTGCTGGACATTTATATATTTTCCTTTCATAAATGACTATTCAGCTCTTTTGCCAATTTTTTAAATAAGTTATTTTCTTTTTTACTGTTAAGTTGTCTGAGTTCCTTGTATATTCTAGACATTAATCCTTTGTCAGATGGAGAGTTTGCAAATATTTTCTCCTACTCTGTAGATTTCCCTTTTGCTCTGTTAATTGTTTCCTTTGCTGTGCTGAAGCTTCTGGTTCTTTATTGGAATTTATATTACTTTGATCTTTCTTAGTGAAACAATTAAAGTATCTCAATTTATTAAGCTTTCTGCTGTCTCTGGTATGTAGATGGCTTTACCCTTTGTCCATTTTTCTATTTTCACAAGTTATTCCCAAATTTGGATCCAAAATAGTTAAAAATTTCCAATTATATGATTGAAAACATTGGTTTCTTAAGAATAATTTATTCTAACATAATATGTAAAATACCAAAAAATTATTACTTTTTTTACTGAAGAAATAGTTGTGCATCATGTTGCTTCCATGTGGCATTAAATATTTCATANTCTGGGGATGAGAAGAGCCTGGTAAGAAAATGGTCCCTGGAGCCCACAGCATGCTCTATGTGTGTATGTGTGTGCATGTGTTGTGCAGCCTGAGCAGTCCTCAGAGCAGTGCACCTGACCTGATATATTCCAAAATATTGCTGTTATCACATAGATGGCAGAATTCTATCCAACAGACAGGAGGAAGGAAGGATCTATTTAAACTCAAGGGGTGGCTTTCGAATCAAGTTAATAAAGTGTGAGTGGCGTAGGGACTGTTTATGTCTTGAGGTTTGAGCAGCATGAGGGAAGCCACCTCATTGCTCACCCTCCCCCAACACTTCCTCCCTTCACTCTCCGTCTTGCTCATAACCCTGACACACTGGTTTTCTCTTTGGATTTGACCATCTGAAACAAGCACCTTCCTCAGGGGCTTTGCATGAGTCATTCCCCCTGCCAGGTACACTGGTCCTGCTTGAACCCCCCAAACATAACCCCCCAAATCTATTTTCTCTCTTTCACCTACTTTCATTTCTATATAGCACACGATACAATCTGACATGTCAGTTTATAAATTCTTTATGTATTTGTGTTATTTCTTCTTCGTCATTGAATTGCAGGGACATTTGTTTTTCAGCATAAAATACTCATTGTGCAGACAGTGCCTGGACATAACTATGAGTCAACTACACTCTTCAAATGCATGAAAGAAAAAATTTCTCAGTGAAATAGGTAAATACATGATTCCTCCTAGCGAAATGGCTGAGATGGCTCTAGGTGTACCCTAAATGGGACCATATCTATACACAAAATGTAAAGGATAATTTAATGACTGAAAATATAAATGGTAACATTTTAACTCTGTGAATAATGGCCATTTGTGTGAAAAGAATTACATTTCTTTTCTCTTTCCTAATAGCACTTCTACCACATGGGACCAGGAAATGATACACAAATTTCAGAATTTCTTCTTATGGGTTTTTCAGAGACACCAGAATTGCAGCCCCTCATCTTTGGACTTTTCCTCTCCATGTACCTGATCACTGTGTTTGGAAACCTGCTTATCTTCCTGGCCATCATCTCAGATGTCCTCCTCCACACTCCCATGTACTTTTTCCTCTCCAACCTGTCCTTTGCAGACATCTGTTTCACTTCCACAACCATCCCAAAGATGCTGGTGAATATTCAGATGCAGAGCAAAGATATCAGCTTTGCAGGCTGCCTCAGCCAGATATTTTTTTTCATTCTATTTGGATGCCTGGACAGTTTTCTCCTGACAGTGATGGCCTACGACCGGTTTGTGGCCATCTGTCACCCTCTGCACTACATGGTCATCATGAACCCCCGGCTCTGTGCATGTTTGATTCTGGGGTCCTGGATCATGAGTGTCTTGGGCTCCCTGCTTGAAACTTTGACTGCTTTGAGGTTGTCCTTCTGCACAAGCATGGAAATTGCAAACTTTTTTTGTGATCTTCCTGAAGTCCTGAAGCTTGCCTGTTGTGAAACTCTCATCAATAACATAGTGTTAACATCCTAGTCTGCATTACAGCTGGTAATTGGGTTCATTCTCTTCATTACGATCCATTCTCTTATTCAGCTTGGTGTCCACAGTGCCCTCACAGTCACTGGTAATAATTGATTATGGAATACATTTCTCCAAATAGAGTCTAAATAAGAAGAGAAATTTGAATAAATAGTTTGTTTTAGTACATCTATTCATAGACATATATAAGATTGCTGTCCATGTTCCAGGATATTTATTCATCGGGGTGAAGGATTGTCTGGTATATTTTGCATCTGTGATGTTGGGTGGAGGACCTCTTGCTGGTATCCTTTACTCTTATTGTAAGATAGTTTCTTCCATACGTGCAATCTCAACAGCTCGAGGGAAGTATAAAGCATTTTCCACCTGTGCATCTCACCTCTCAGTTGTCTCCCTATTTTATTGTACAAGCTTAGGAGTGTACTTTAGTTCTGCTGCTACACACAACTCACACTCGAGTGCTGCAGCCTCAGTGATGTACACTGTGGTCACACCCATGCTGAACCCCTTCATCTACAGTCTGAGGAATAAAGACATAAAGAGGGCTCTGAGGAGATTCTTTGGTAGGAAACAATAAAATGACCAATTGTACTGCTGCTGAAGTTGTGCCCCTGATTGCAGGGATCAAAGACTCAGATACAGAAATTGTGATTGTTTTTAAATTTATTATAATAGTAAAACTTACTCTTTCTGATTTTTTAAAATATTATTGTAACATAGTTGATCGTACATATCTGTGGGGTACAGAGTTGAATATTAATACTTGTGTGCAATATGTGATGGGCAAGTCAGAATAATTATTATATTCAAGAATATACACTGCCATCACTGTTCGTAGCCCTCCCTTCCCTGCTCCCCACTTCCCACTTCTAGTGACCTCAGTTCTCTTTTCAAAAATTCAATGTATTATTTTGTATGTTGTATCTTTCTTTTTTTTATTTCTATGTTTACGTTTTAGATTCCACTTATGAGTGAGGACATATGAAATTTCACTTTCTGTGCCTGGCTGATTTCACTTAACATGATTTTCTCTAAGTTCATCCATGCTGCTGCGAATGGCAACTTTTCATTCTTTTTTATGGCAGAGTATTATTCCATTGTGTATATGTACCACATTTTTCTTATCCACTCATCTGACAATGGACATTTAGCATGGTTCCAACTCTTGGATATTGTATATAGAACTGCTATGAACATGGGGGTGGATGTATCTCTTTGACACAATTATTTCCATTCCTTTGGATATCTACACAGCAGTGCAACTGCTGGATTGTATGGCAATTCTATCTGAAGTTGTTTATGCAATATCCATACTATTTTATATAACAGCTGCACCAATTTACAGTCCCATCAATAGTGTAAGAGGGTTCCCCTTTCTCCGCATCCTCAGTACATTTGATGTTCTCCATCCTTTTGATAATAGCCAGTCTAACCAGGGTGAGATTGTATCTTAATGTGGTTTTGATTTGCATTTCCCTGATGCTGATTGATGTTGAGCATTTTTTTCATGTGTCTGCTGGACATTTATATATTTTCCTTTCATAAATGACTATTCAGCTCTTTTGCCAATTTTTTAAATAAATTATTTGTTTTTTTACTGTTAAGTTGTCTGAGTTCCTTGTATATTCTAGATATTAATCCTTTGTCAGATGGAGAGTTTGCAAATATTTTCTCCTATTCTGTAGGTTTCCCTTTTGCTCTGTTAATTGTTTCCTTTGCTGTGCTGAAACTTCTGGTTCTTTATTGGAATTTATATTACTTTGATCTTTCTTAGTTAAACAATTAAAGTATCTCACTTTATTAAGCTTTCTGCTGTCTCTGGTATGTAGAAGGCTTTACCCTTTGTCCATTTTTCTATTTTCCCAAGTTATTCCCAAATTTGGATCCAAAATAGTTAGAAATTTCCAATTATATGATTGAAAACATTGGTTTCTTAAGAGTAATTTATTCTAACATAATATGTAAAATACCAAAAAATTATTACTTTTTTACTGAAGAAATAGTTGTGCATCATGTTGCTTCCATGTGGCATTAAATATTTCATATAATTTTATAGTAAAGGCAAATGTGAGGTCCTAATTTTTCACTTGTGTTCATCATTCCTTCCTTAGTGACCTCCATAACCATACATCTGATAAGGTGGACTTTAACATCCTAGTCTGCATTACAGCTGGTAATTGGGTTCATTCTCTTCATTACGATCCATTCTCTTATTCAGCTTGGTGTCCACAGTGCCCTCACAGTCACTGGTAATAATTGATTATGGAATACATTTCTCCAAATAGAGTCTAAATAAGAAGAGAAATTTGAATAAATAGTTTGTTTTAGTACATCTATTCATAGACATATATAAGATTGCTGTCCATGTTCCAGGATATTTATTCATCGGGGTGAAGGATTGTCTGGTATATTTCAAGCTCAATAATTGAATTCTCATGTTTCTGCCTAAGAACTTCTAGTGTTGACTATAAATGCATGATTCTTTCCATTGTTCTAAATGAAATGTCTCACCCTTTTGAAATTTTGTCATAACCACCAATGGGCAATTGACAGACAATATTATCCATTGTATACCTCCTTCTATGCCCAGGAATATCTTCAATCTTCATTATTAAACCATCCCTCACAAGCTGTCATAAATTCCTCCTCAGTCCTGTAATTCAGGTCCCATGTTTTCCTGCACAAACACAGGTGTGTCCAACCTCTCCTGGTTACTTAAAGAGAATTTCAATATAGTCCTTTTAATACAGTGTTCTAAAATAAACTTGAGCAAGAGAGTAATTACAAACATTCTCTTCAAGTAGCACAACAAGTGAAAAATTAAAAAGTAGCAAGTGAGACAATGGTGGAGTAGGAGATCCAGTCCTCTCCCAACAAAAACAAATCAGGCATACATGAACAAAATTATCCTGGGAGAGACCTGGAGCCCGTTAATATATTTTCAACAAAGAGTGAGGCAAAAAACATTGAGAATTACTGCACAGAAATGATTCATTTTGCTTGGATCTCCCACACCCAGACCTGCACTGTTCAGTGTGGAGAGGGAATTCAATAGCCCAGGAGTTCCTCCTGTGGGGATAAGGGAAAAGGAGACAGGACTGAGTAGGCACTTCCCAAGCCTTTTCTGGCTCTGCCCAAAGAATCTGTTTTGGACTAACCCCACCCAGATCTCTGGGAGACAAACATAGCAGAGATGTCTGTAGTGGTCTAGGAATGAAGAAGAAAGGAGGGGTCATAAGGATCAGCCATGTGTTTGGAGCCTCCACTGTCCCTCATGGCCCTCTCTGCAGTGGACTCAGCAACTTTTGCCTCAAAGGAGACCAATAGCCAATACACCCACCACAGAGCCCTGCAGAATTTTGACTGTATAGACTCCAGCCTCCTGAACCACTGCTCCCTCCTCCTCCTTCCCCCCAGGTGCCACCTCATCTAGTAATGCCCCAGCCATCCTGGCCCAGGACTCAAAGTGACTAACAAACTTTCAACCTAAGTAACAAACAGAGAGATGCTCTCTAAAAGACTTATTAGTTTAATCAGGAATATATCACGGAAGTGAGAATATATGTGCAGTAGTAAACTGTGTGCTTATTCAGATAGGGAAAGGAAGACCAGGGGTTGTAAAGGAAAAATGATGGAGGATGACTAATTGTTTGGAGATAAATATCTTTGGCTACAAAGATCAATGATCCATAACAAGGGTGACACTAGTCTGAGGATGCACAGGAAGTTGCTGGGTAGATGTCCTCACTGAAGAATCTTTTTATTTAAGGTTGAGGTGGCCTTTGTGCAAGGTTGTGGTTTTGCAGAGTCTTTTATGATAGTTCTTTTTACAAGGTGTAAGTGTATGAGACTCCTCCCTTCACGTCATTTCCCTGGCTCTGATTGTCAGGGTTTTTTAAAAACACGAGCAAATCCATTTTGCTTTTGGAAATTTTCACAGTATACTCTCTCCAAGCACTCTTGCTTTCATTTTTGACCTTGGATTTTACATAAAAATGGAATAAGTAAATCTAGGCACAGAACTTACACCTTTTATAAAAATTAACTCAAAATAATTCTAGACCTAAACATAAAACAACAAACTATAAAACTAATAGAAGATAACATAGAAGAAAATCTATGTAACCCTGGGATTGGCACAAAACAAAAAACATTTTATTTAAGAAAATGTTGATATGTTAGACTACTATAAAATTAAAAGAAAAAATTTCTGTGTGAAAGACACAGGAGAAGGAAAAAGGAAACCACAGACTGAGAGCAAACTTTTAGAAAACACATTTCTGATTAAGAACTGGTATTTAAATATAGATACAGGTATTTAAACTCAAAAATTAAAAAAAAAAATTTGATTTGAAAACTTGGCAAAATATTTTAATGGACACCCACCAAAAATGATATACGTGTCAAATAACCATATGAGAAGATCATAAACATTATATGTCATCAGGAAATTTACAGAGTTAGTAAAAGTATCAGTGGTTGCCTAGAATTCAAGGAAAGGCAGTGAGAGATGAATACCTGGAACACAGGATACTTAGAGCAGTGAGATTATTCTCTATGCTACTGTAATGGTACATGCATGTCGTCATATATTTATCAAAATCCATGGAATGTACAACAGCAAGAATTAACCCTAATGTAAACTATGGACTTTAGTTCATACTAACAATGTATAAATATTTGCTCATCAGATATAATAAATGCACTACACTAAGGCAAGGTCTTAATAATTAGGGAAAGAGTGAGGTGGTTGAGGAAGTTTATGGAATATCTCCGCTAATTCCACTGACCTTTTATGTAAACCTAAAACTGCCCTAAAAATGAAATCTATTATTACTTTTTTATAATTTTATTTTATTTTTATAGGTCTATTTTATTCCAATATTATATGTAATATAGGAGTTTCCACTTCTCCCTTTTTTATTTTTTAATTTATCAATATGCAATGTAGATGATTTTCATGTCCCTTTACCAATTCATAAAGACAAATGGGTATAGTCATTCAGTGAAATGCTGTTCTCCAATGAGAAAGTTTGATGTACAACTGCGTCCAATAATATGAATGAACATGTGAAATAAGCTTGATATTTTTAATCTTCCAATCCCCGTCTAATTTTTATTTTATCTTATGTTATTTATTTTTATTATTGGTTATGAATATTCATGAGATACAAAGCCGATTGTCATCCCTTGTACCCAAGATGTGAAGGCCAGATTCATACTGGAAGCACACCCATTACCATAAATTGCATTTGTACCCCATGTCCCCCAACCATTTATCCCCAACCTCCCTCTTAATGCTCTTTTGTATGTTTTAGCACCTATTGCTTCCTCTAAAGTAAACACATGAAAAGAGTCATTAAATGGCCATAGATGAAGGTTAAGGCTTTGAGCACATTAGTTGGCTGGTAATTTCAACAACAAAAAAATACAGTTGACAATGTGGTGAAACAGATTATTGAAGAAGGGTGTGATGAGGGCTGTGGTTTTAATAGATTGAAGGAGAAAGTGTTGATGCAAAAAGTAAGGGCAGAGATGGTGCCTAATATTAATGCCTCCAGTA